TTGGAGAAGAAGAGAAGAAAGAGTTTTGATCCAAAAAGTTTGTTTCTTTTCTTTAAAAAGCGTTTTTGAAGCAAAAACAGAAAATTTTTGGAAATTTTTAAGTTTACGGGAACTTACCTTTTCTCGTTTACACATTAGGAAAGTTTAAAACTTACGGAGGATCTTTTCGGGTTTTACCGAGAACATTTCGGGAAACACCGGGGATCACCGAAAAACGTCACAAATCCGCGACACAACCTCAACGACCAACGGCCGCGGTCAGGAGACGCGCGACCGCGGTGGATGAAGGCTCGGCCGCGGTCGCATTCACTGTGCCACGGTCGATGCACCGTTTGCCGCAGTCCCGTCAGTTGCGACCGCGGGTCCTTCTCCTGCGGCCTATTGTCCAATCTTCTCGTCTTTGCCGGGCCGAGCAGCTGAAGACCTACCTTTTTCTCTTTGGTTTTTCTAATTTTCTGATTTTTTTGTATTTTTGTTTTATAAAATACCTAAAACTTAAAAAGAAAAAGAAAGCATAAATTCTAAAATGGAAAAGAAAACTAAAAGAAAGAGTACCTAACTGGGTTGCCTCCCATTAAGCGCTTTTGTTTTAAGTCGTTTAGCTCGACCTAAGCATGAGGAGTCAGGCTGATTTGAATGGCACTCCATTTGATGTGCCTTTATCACTTCCGGTTGGTGGAGGTTTCACTTCTTCCCCTTGAAGAGAAGTCTTCTTACCTTTAATCTTCTTTCAGACCTTAATGTTGTTCAGAACCCTTTTTGTGTTTTCGATCAGCTCTTGGATTGGGTCCTCACTAGTTTCTGTTGCATCCGGTGGAATGATGATCTTGATCTTTGCAAAAGCTTTCGGCTTCTCCTTTTCTTTCTCTTTTGGCTTGTTTCCTTTACTTGGAAATTCATCTAAGATAGTAGGATAGTACCTTTTTTGTCCACATTGAGGAAAACCGCACGCCGGTTTGCGTGATCGATTATTGCTCCTACCGTAGCTAGGAATGGCCTCCCAAAAATGAGTGGCCTCTCCTTGTCTTTATCCATCTCCAGGACTTGGAAATCTGCTGGAACAATCTTATCTCCCACTAGAACTTGTAGATCATGAATCGCCCCTTCAGTATCTTTTTGAGATGAATCTCCAAAGATAACCTTGACCGTCGATGTCCTTAAGGTTTTTATGCCCAATTTTTCGGCAAATGTCTTAGACATGATGTTGACATTGGCTCCGGAATCGCACAAGCAGTCTGTAAACTTGATTCCTGAAATGAAACACTGGAAAACAAAACGTCCCGGATCATCGGCTTTGGTAATCCTTTGAAACGGTGATCGTTCGGGTACCTTAAACGGTGGCTGCTTGGGATCGATATCCTTGTACAGAGGTACAAAGATTGGGGTTTCTTCTTTCTTTCCATCGGTTCCGGACTCTTCTTCGGGCAATGTGGTTACGGCGTTGCAAAACTTCTTAGGGTTATCTTCAACTCTTCCTGGTAGGACTCCACTTTGCCTCTTCATAGATTCGGCTGTCTGGGCGACTTGCACATCTAACTTTTATACGTGCGAAGATAAGGATTCAAACTTACCATTCAGATCATTGTACATGCAGTCCACTTTCACGTTCACGTCTTTAGATGCCTTTTCGTTTGTCATAACGAGTTGTTGGATTGACTGTTCAAGTCTACCGATTTGTGAAGCTAGCTGGTTCGTCGTGACTCCCTGCTGTTGTACAAATTGCTTATTAAAATTCGTACCTTGGTAGTTATATGGCTGTCGCGGTTGATATGGTACTATTCCTCCAAAGTTTCCGCCTTGAAAATTGTTTTGGAATGGTTTTTGCTGAGGTGGATAGTACTGATCTTGAGGATTCTCCATTTGGATTGCGGTAAGAGAGATTGTTGTAATTCGCATTCCGGAAGTTGTTGTTGAAGTTGTTGTTGGAGCGATTTTGGTATGGCACCAGTCCTCCTACATAGTTCACATCTTCTTCTTGAAATGCTTGATTAATGTGATCGATATCACTAGGTCCTTCATCTTCTGCGCCATTGTTGGTCTCACAGGCATGGATCGGGCGATTGTTACTCTTCAGAAGCTGGCTCACCATGTTCTTCAACTCGGTTATCTCCTTGTTGTCCGTTCCGGCTTGCTTCATCGATCGATCATATTCAGGACAATCATTGCTATTTGCTTGAGCCAAATTTTCGATGAGAGCTCTTCCTTGGGTTATCGTCTTTTGCCCAAAATCTCCATTGCTAGCTGTATCAAGTGAAAGTTTGTATTTTGGTTGCAAACCTCGGTAAAATGTGCTCAGCAGGCTTGATCCATGAAATCCATGATGAGGGCAATCACATTCATACTCCTTAAAACGCTCCCAAGCTTCATAGAAAGATTCAGTTGACCCTTGTTGAAAGGTTGAGATCTTCGTTCTCAAATTGTTCGACCTCGACTTAGTGTAGAAGTGGTTCAGGAAAGCAGTTCTACATTCTTCCCAATTAGTAATCGATCCTGCAGGCAAAGACTTCAACCAACGGTGAGCTTTATATGCTAATGAAAAAGGGAACAACTTACATTTTAAATAGTCAGGTGGAATTTGGTTTGTTCTCCTCAGGCGGCAAATTTCTTCAAAGAGCTCGATATGGTCCATTGGATGCTCAGAAGGAACTCCATGGAACTGGTTTTGCCTCACCAATGAGATGATTTGAGGCTTGACTTCAAACTCATTCCGGTTTGGAAATGGTACTTGAATCGCAGATCGATTCGGAAAATTTTGAGTAGGTGCATCAAAATCAGCTAGGCGATGGTTCCTGGCTTGTCTTCGGTGTTGATTTGCTGGCGGAATGGGGCGGTGGATGCGTTCATTCGGCTGCATTGATGAGTGGTCACCATCGGCTACATTGATGGGTGGATCAAGGTCTTCACGTCCTTCTCTATCTCGGTTCTGGTGGTTTCTTGGAAGAACCTCATCCTCCTCTCCATCTTGTCGAGCATGATCACCTTCAATGTGATCATTCTCTTCGTTTTCTCCATGTTCGGACCCTTCTTGGTCCATATTTAAATTTCGATTAATAGGATCTCCAGGCTGGTCGTCGTTGGCCATTCCTTGCGTTCGTCTAAGTCTTCGAAGTTCTCTTTCGTGTCTGTCTATCTCGTCTAGAATTGGAATGTCTCCTGCAGGTCTACGCCTGGTATTCATGCAACTCAGAGAAAGACAAAAGAAGGGAAAGATAGTTCAGAAAAACTTTAATAAAAAACTAGAGATCAGGTGTCTAGAACAGAAGTTAAAACAAGAAAAATAGCAAAAGGCAGCGAAACAAATCCCCGGCAACGGCACCAAAAACTTGATGCGGTGCTGAGTGTGTCAACTACGTGACGGAACAAGTTTTACCCTTAACAAAACAAAAGAAAGCCGCAAGTGCACAGCTAATCTGTTGTAGTATTTAGGGATCGAATCCATAGAGATTTGTGTGCCTGGTATTCTTCTACGGTTTTTAACTTTATGTCTAGACTAAATTGGTTTTAAAGGTTGGTTGTTTTTCTTGAATTAAACTAAAGCAAAATAAAGCAAATAAATCTATCCTAAAAAGCAAGTAAAGAAATCGAATGAAAGGCAGTAGAACAAGTAAAATATCGAATGAAAGACTAATAAGGCAAGTAAATATCGAATGAAAGGTAAATAAAGCAAGTAAATAACGAACTAAGGAAATTAAAATGCAGGTCTAAGAAAGCAAGTAAAAATCGATGGAAATTGTAAACTATGGCTAAAAACGCTGAGCTTTTGGGAACTCTAAGGGATCATAATCGGTTTTAACATTAGGGTAGATAGATTGGGATTGACGGATAACAATATATAGGTTCTAGAGCTAGAGTACGGCGGTATGACTACGTCACTGTCTTGATCATAACCAACTGTTTCTCGCAACCCTGACCAGTAGGTTTCCACTCTGGCCCTGGAAGGGAGAGAACGCAAGAGCTGCATAAGACTCGTCAATACTCACGATCTCGCCGCAGGTAGGTTTCCACTCCTACGGAAAAATTGCCTGTTTCATTCTAGGGCTGATACTTAATGAAAACTTTTGCAACACTAAGTATCTAGATCAGATACTAGGTGATCAATCAAGCATACATGCAATAAGAACAAGAATAAACAGAGAACAGGTCGAAATCCCATATCTATAAACCTAGATGTCTTAATCGATTATGAGAGCCCCTTTCGGGAACCCTAAGCCCAACTCGGGATCTACTCAGACATGGCTGAGTTCGACATCATCATTGGTTTTAATAAAAGTAATGAAAAACAGTAAAGAAAAGAGATAAAGAAAGCTTCTCTATTGAAGAACTCGGACTTGAACAATCTTCTACAAAAATCTCATAAAAACGGCTAAAGGAAAAGGGTTTCTGTAAAGTGTGTAAAAGCTCTCCTAAAAACGACCTAAATGACATGTATTTATAGTCTCCAATGCTCCATGGTCTCTAGGGTTCCGGACTTGAGGCTGGGAATGACTTTAGGCTTCAGATAAGTGGGCTTTAAGTCGGAGCTTGAATGCCGCGGTCGGGAGTGCTGTGACCGCGGCAATTGGCTTGTTTCTAGCGGTCGGGAAGCTTCTAACCGCGGCAAATAGGTTGCTGGCCGCGGTCGCGTGAGCCGCTGGCCGACTCCGCGTGGCTTCGGGGCTAATAGATTATATTGAGATCCAACCGTTGGAATGTCTCCAAACCAAGTGCATTTGAAAGCTGGTTGATTCTTCTATAAGTTGTCCAATTTTGAGGGTGATCAGACGGTGAGAAGGTCTTCGTCTCTCCATGAGAGTTCTGACGGTCTGCATTTATCCAAAAGAGTCTTTTTGTTCTATTTTGTGCCTCTTTATCCCAAATTACCTGAAAAGTCTTTTCAAATCCGGAATCATAGAAATCCTTTGAAAACCTTTGAAAATGGAGTAAAAACACCTGTGAAAGATATTAAAGTGATCCATAAAAATGGTCAAAATCCGGTGTTATCAGTGGTCTCGGACAAGGGCATGTGTGTTGACCCGGATTGGCCTAGACCTGAGAATGCCTCGGAGATAAGAAGTTTTCTGGGCTTAGCTGGGTATTACCGTCGGTTTGTTAAGGGCTTTGCGAGTATGGCCCAGCCAATGACCCGGTTAACAGGCAAGGATGTACCATTCGTGTGGTCGGCCGAGTGTGAGAAGAGCTTTGCCAATCTTAAGGAGATGTTGACTAGTACGCCAGTTCTGGCTTTGCCTGAGCCGGATCAGCCGTATGTAGTCTACACGGACCATCCCGGTAAGGCAAATCTAGTCACAGATGCGCTAAGTCGGAAGCGGATTGCAGCTTTAGCCGAACAGGATGTTGAGGGTTTAGTCCGGATGGTTGGGACGCTACGGCTAGCGGCTTTGACCGATGAGGTAAAACCGTTGGGTTTAGGCGCGGCTGATCAAGCGGATCTGCTAAGCCGAGTAAGGATAGCCTAGGAAAAAGATGAAAATCTGATGAAGTGGGCAAAGATGGATCAGACCGAGTACCAGACTTTGAACAATGGGACGATCCTGGTTAAGGGTCGGGTCTGTGTACCAAACGACAAGGAGTTAAGGAAAGAAATCTTAAGGGAAGCTCACCATTCTAAGTTCGTGGTTCACCCAGGATCGACAAAGATGTACCAGGACCTTAAGCGGTATTACCACTGGGTCGGGATGAAACGGGACGTGGCTGAATGGGTGGCCGGGTCTCAAACCTGTCAAATTGTTAAGGCCGAGCATCAAGTGCCAAGCGGCTTGTTGCAAAGCTTACTGATTCCTGAGTGGAAGTGGGACATGATCACGATAGATTTTGTGACAGGATTGCCTGTGTGAGGGAAGATGGATTCTATCTGGGTCATTGTGGATCGGTTGACTAAGTCCGCGCACTTCTTGGCAGTGAACAAGCACGATAAGGCGAATGCCTTAGCCAAGTTGTATGTGGATGAGATCGTCAAGCTGCACGGTGTGTCGGCGAGTATTGTGTCAGATCTGGACTCGTGGTTCACGTCGGCATTTTGGAGGGCTTTGAAGAAACGGTTCGGGAGTAAGGTCCATATCAGTACGACTTACCATCCTCAGACCGATGGTCAGTCGGAACGAACCATAAGGATGTTGTAATAAAATGTAGTACTTTAAATCAAACAGCCAAAAAACTGACTAGCATAGGAGTGCTTAGCTAACCTTTTGTATAGTACTCTTTGTATAGATAAGATAAGATTGTAGAATTTTAGTGATATACATGCATAAAGTGTTATATTACAATGCCGACCTTAGCTCAGTTGGTAGAGTGTAGGACTGTAGTAGAAGCAGAGAATCCTTAGGTCAGTGGTTCGAATCTGGTAGGTCGGAAATGTTTTGCTTAGGCATGCAATTTTACTTGTCATTTCAAAACTATTTGTTCGTATGCATCTTTGCTTATATATTGTACAGAGAAGTTTCGAGGATTAGATTGTAACAGCTAATGTTTCTCATAGAAACTTTTGGTATAAAGTACTTTTTGTTCCATCGCAAAATCTAGACTGTCTTACTTATATATGGCTATTTGACAAAGAAGAAAGAAAAAGTCTTATGATTCTAGTGTTTTTATTTTGATAAAAAAATTGTAGTAGAACTTCCAAAAACTTGTGGTCATTTCTGCTCAAGCCTTCAATTTTGTTTGCCATAGTCTAATGCACATATTTACCATAGGCAAATTCTAGATATGTAAAACTAAATTAATATTACCGTTATTTCGTGTCGGAGAAAAACTCGAGGGTATACCTACCATTCTGAATCGTACCTTTTATATATTCTTTAGTGTTTTGTAATCAAACTTATTTTTCCGAAGACGTCTTGCTCAAGTCGTAAACTACGATTCTTTGTTTATATTTTATAAAAAAAGCTTTCTCATGCGAAAACAAGTACTTCTAAAGGCAATATTCACTACAAGAAATATGCTTATTGATAGCACATTTTAATAGCGTAATACTTGTAACTGCTATTAAATGTCATTTGCGGAATTGGGTACTCTAATATAGCACTTAAAAAATGCTAAAGAGTAAATAATGTGAGTGGGAACAAAAAAAAAGGCTTTGGCTCGCAGAAAACACTTCTGCCCGCCAACACTTAGTAAAAATTTCATGTTATAGACAAAACATAACAACATTCTGTCGACTAAAAAAAAAAACCATTTTTCTCGGGTGAGCAAAAAATAGAAAGTTCTAGGGTTTACGAGAGAAGAGAGTGATCTCAAATTCATCAAGCCGATTAAGAATCTGACGTCTCTGATACCCTCATCGTCGGAAATCTCTTTCACCAGTGTCGATTTCGGGTTTAGATCAGGTCATCTTGATTCCTGTTGCAGTTAAGCTCTCGATTTTGGAGATTTCTGGGTTTAGCAGGAAATTTTCGGCGATTGAGGCACAGTCGTTTGTCAAATTCAGCGGAAACTAGACGACGCACATGCAAAGGTAACTCCAATTTCACTCTTCATAAACCCTAAATGTAATTCCATCATTCGATTCATTTAATACTTATACTTGTTTTACTTACTACACTTTCATTCTCATTTCTTCCCTCTTGAGGTTTCGAAGCTGAAGAGAAACCAAAAGACAGCGAGAAGACATCAAATACATAGGCGAACAAAGCTCAATCGTGTCTGATTTCATCGATAATCAAGGTAAATGTAACTCGTTAATCAGTTTAGGGTTTACACAGAATTGATACGAAACTCGTTTATATTGAAATCTACTTTGTCTTCCGGAGTACTTTTAAAGTGTTTGTTTAGGGTTGAGTCGTTTCGCTAACAATTTTATTAAGGTTGGAGTATACAATGGTGGACAAGGCATGGGTTCACCTATGCAGGTATCACTTAATAAACATTTGTTCAGGGTAGATGTGCTTCTATATAGTTTACCTGTATAGTTTTGACTTTTTTTCATTCACCGACATGCATATGTTGAAGAGCGGATCCTGCATATGAGATTGGTGCTTGGAATTTTGTGAACTCAGTTGCCTCTGCCTTAGGAGATCGTGATTTGGTTATATGCCCGTGCATTGATTGTCGAAACGTAGACTGTCATTCTAAAAATGATGTAGTGGATCACTTGGTCACAAGAGGAATGGATGAGACGTACAAGCTAAGGACTGATTGGTATCATCATGGGGAAGTAAGGAAGGAAAGAGGACGTACAAACTGTGGGTCTGACAAAGCAAGGAAAGTGATTAGAGAGTGGAACGAGGAGATTGTAGGGTTGTATCAAGCTGCCGAATACTTGGATGAAGAGTTAGCTAACAAGACTGACTTATGCGATGTTGCTGAAGGTTTAGACAAGAGAGAAGACGAGTTTCTAGCTAAACTTGCTGATGCCGAAACGCCATTGTATCCAAGTTGTGCCAGCCATAGCAAGCTATCAGAAATTGTATCGTTGTTTACGCTGAAGGCTCAGAATGGGTGGTCGGACAAGAGCTTCAACGAGCTGTTAGAGACACTGCCGAGAATGTTGCCGGAGGATAATGTGCGTCACACCTCGTTGTATGACGTGAAGAAGTTCCTCAAGTCTTTCCATATGGGGTACGAGAAGATCCATGCCTGTGTTAATGATTGTTTTCTTTTCAGAAAGGGGTTGAAGAAGTTAGACAACTGTCCCAAGTGCAAGACATCAAGATGGAAGACTAACTTCCAAACCGGTGAACTTAAAAAAGGTGTCCCTCAGAAAGTTTTGAGGTACTTTCCCATCATTCCAAGGCTGAAGAGGATGTTTAGGTCAGAGCAAACTGCTAAAGAGCTACGGTGGCATTTGACTAACAAAAGTAATGATGGAAAGCTGCGTCATCCCGTCGACTCCGTAACATGGGACCAGATGAATTCCAAGTACCCGTTGTTTGCCGCAGAATCAAGGAACATTCAGCTAGGTCTCTCCGCCGACGGTTTCAATCCATTCAGCATGAAAAATACAATGTATTCTTGTTGGCCTGTATTGTTGGTGAATTATAATATGGCTCCAGACTTGTGTATGAAGAAGGAGAATATCATGCTTTCCTTGTTGATTCTTGGACCGTATCAACCTGGCAACAGTATAGATGTGTACCTGGAGCCACTGATCGATGACCTCCAACAGTTGTGGGACATTGGAGAGCAAACGTATGATGCATTCAGTAAAACCACATTTACAATGAAGGCAATGCTATTGTGGGCTATTAGTGACCTACCTGCATATGGAAATCTGGCTGGCTGCAGAGTAAAAGGAAAGATGGGATGTCCATTATGTGGAAAGCATACTGATAGTTTTTGGTTACCTAATAGCAGGAAGCATGTTTACATGTGTCATAGAAAGGGATTATTACCCACGCATAGTTACCGTGGGAAGAAGGCATGGTTCGATGGAAAAGTTGAATATGGAAGGAAGGGTAGGATTCTAACGGGTCATAACATATCTGTGTTGCTGAAGAATTACAAAAACGAGTTTGGAAATGTTAGACAAGCTGTAAGGAAAAGAAAAAGGGTTATTCCTGCGGAGTCATTAACTGATAGTGAAGATGAAGAATCCGAATCAGAGGAGGAAGAGGAAGTAGATGAAGAAGAATTATCTAGATGGAAGAAACGATCTATCTTTTTCAATCTTCCTTACTGGGAGGTATGTTATCATTTTACAACTTCATTTATATTTGTTAAATACACTATACATAATTTAAAGACTTTCAGCTAACATGTCTAAATGCAATCCATAGGAACTCCCGGTCAGACATAACTTAGACGTTATGCACGTAGAAAGAAATGTTGCAGCGAGCATCATTTCCACCTTGCTGCATTGTGGAAATTCAAAAGACGGTCTTAATGCTCGTAAAGATCTACAAGTCCTTGGTATTAGGAAAGAGTTGCATCCTAAAGCCAGAGGCAAACGAACTTACTTACCTGCAGCACCGTGGACTTTGTCAAAGGAAGAGAAGAGATTATTCTGCAAGCGTCTACATGAGTTCAAAGGACCGGATGGTTATTGCTCCAATATATCCAGGTGCGTATCATTAGAAGAGTCTAAGACAATGGGATTGAAGTCAAACGATTACCATGTGCTCATGCAACAACTTTTACGAGTTGCATTTAGAGGTCTTTTACCGAAAAGGCCTAGAATAGCCATTACACGATTATGTGCATTCTTCAACACTCTATGTCAACGTGTTGTTGATAGGGAGAAAATATTAGGAATGGAAAACGAAATCGTTGAGACTATTTGTATGTTTGAGAGATTTTTCCCACCTAGTTTCTTTGATATAATGGTTCACTTGTGTATACATCTTGGGAGGGAAGCTAGATTAGGTGGACCTGTGCACTTTCGATGGATGTATCCTTTCGAGAGGTAAGTTGTCTATATAAGTTTTTTGCTAAGTTTGCTTGCCGCATATTTCATCTTCCATTATCTTTATTCTTGTCTTCTTAATTCCTACCAGACACATGAAACTTTTGAAAGATTACGTCAGGAATCCTGCAAGACCGGAAGGATGTATTGTTGAATCATATCTAGCAGAGGAATGTATGCAGTTCTGCAGAGATTTCTTGAGGAAGACCACAAGTGTCGAAGATAGACAAGAACGAAATACTGAATACGAAAGCACTTCTATACTCGAAGGGCGGCCTATTTCTGCTGGGAGGTCTATCACACTTTCTGAAGTGGAAAAGAAAACAGCACACCTAGCTGTCATTCAGAATACCGCACTGGTAGATCCTTATGTAGAGTAAGCTCTAATTTCTTTCTTATGCTGTATTCATATTCGGAATTCAGTCTTTATACTAATATATTTCATTGTTGTCTAATGTCACTTTGTAAGCATGCATCTGCAATACCTGCAAGACACAAACCCACAGTGTAAACAAAACTTTTCAGAGTGCCTTAAAAAAAGTGTAAGTAAGCTATTTCAGTTCCGTATTAATACAAGGTACATTTTAAACGTATTGTTGATTTACTTACTAAATTTTTTTTATGTCAGATACCACTTGACTCTACGGAACATGATGACACACTTAAGTGGATTTCATATGGTCCACGTAATATGGCTAGATCATACACTGGTTACGTTGTTAATGGTCTGCGGTTTCACACAACATCAGTTCAGAGACAAACGCAAAACAGTGGAGTATATTATGAAGCAACTGCAATGTGTCGAGCCAGTGCAAGATACACTTCCCAAATCATGGATTTGGTTTCTTATTATGGCAGAGTGGTGGACATTATCTTATTAGACTACAACGTATTCTACATACCTCTATTCCGATGTCAATGGGCGGTCAGAGGCAACGGTGTGAAGGTGGACGAAGGTTTTACGTTGGTCAACTTGAACCAAAGTCAAGTCTCTTTTGCAAGTCAAGTCTCGTTCGCAAGGGATCCATTCATTCTGGCATCCCTCTTCGACGTCCACAAATCCCAAAGAAGATCTCCTTTCTCAGCTACTTGGGCCTGATAATCCCGACCGTTTGAGAGCAATGGGTAGAGGGATGAGTCAAACCAAGTTAGCATGCTTCCAGATGAAAAGCAAGTTTATGGATGATATGAAACGAGACCAACTAAGATTGATTCAGCAGGTCCATGATTTAGAGGAAGCACTGTCAAAAATACAGAACCAGATAAGCGAGTATTTCATGTCTGGTGATAGTAACTCTGGATTTTACATTGTTAGTATATTAACTTAGGTTGGTATTTCAAATTACATTTTTCAGAAACAAGAAGCTGAAGCCGGAGAGAATTCTGCACCAAGAGTAAACTCTTGTTTTGTCTTATTTAGCATTAAAAATATATGTCATATGTTTACATCTGTTTTTACAATTCACCATTAACGTTTGCAGAGTGTCAACATGAAATTACAAATGAAGTGTCTGTTATTCGACTGGGCTAGAACGGATGAAAAAGTTGGTGAAGGACATATTTTGTCTGAAGAGCCTGAGGAATTTGTCAACAGTATACCCTTAGGCCCAAACTCGTACAAAGTTTTGGTGGAAACAGCGATTAAGCCAGAAGCTTATCTTTGGAGACCTGCTCGCAACGTCTTTAATATGGAGCAAGCAGTTGGAGAGATGATTGCATGGCCTCAAAATTTTGTGGTTCCCTTTAGCAGCGGATGTTAACCAGCAGACATTACGCCTCTGGTAAATATTCTTTCAGTACGGAATATTATAGTTGCGTTAATAGTAAATGTAAAACTGTGCAATGCTTGACAATAGTTTCATTTGTTTACTGCTTCACAGAGTCCTAATACTAGCTCTCGGAACTTCTGCAAGCTGCTTGACTGGGCTAGAACTAACGAGGAAGTTGTTGCAGAGGGTCGTTGGCATTCTCGAGAGCCAAAAGCATTAGTCAACGGACTACCTCTCGGACCTAATGCAGTGAAGGTATTCGTCGATGTGGTTTTATGCCCAAATACCTTCCTCTGGAGGCCAACGACTGAGTTCTTAGATTTGGAGGATTCATTCAACACCTTTGTCGCCTGGCCTGCTAATAGAGTAATCTTTGAGGCAAGTCCTGAAACGAGTTCTCCTATTGCTAACTCTGAATCAACTCCACCAGCTCCAATAAAAAAACCAATGAAAGCAATGTCAGAAAGTTCTACTCCTATAACTCAGGTAGGTTTTCTTACTAAACTTTCATTTGTATAGCTATATATTCAAATTGTCTTCGCTACAGGAATCCAACCAAATGGAAACGGGGAATGAAAATAAGAAGTGCTTGGTGATGGCTATTACTGGAAAGAAGCGAGTGATTGCTGAAGGACGTTGGTCCACAAACGATCCACTTCAAACAGTACATTTTGTTCCCTTGGGTCCAAATGCAGTTAAGGTGTGGATTGATGTTGTCAAAGTTAAAGATGCTTGCGTATGGAGGCCTTCGTCTGAGATCGACTGCATGGAAGATGCAATAGGAACAGCTATTGCTTGGCAAGAGGATAAAGTGGTACTCGTCTAAATGCAGTAGTCATCTGATACTTTAGTTTTTATCTTCTCTGAACTTAAGGATGGTTTCGTTGAAGACATAACCTGATATGTGTTTATGGTTTTCTTTGTTGGAAATGCTTGTATGTTGCTGAAACATTAACCAGTACTCAGTTTTTCTATATGGAAAAGCAGATGAATTTCAATTTTTGATTACCAGGTTTTGATATTTAGTAAGTGCATTTCTTGAGGTTTTGGAAATATCGTATTTGGTTAAAAAAAACCTACATCGCCAAATTCAATAGCACGTACGAACAGCTCCAACACTATACAATACAGCGTGAAAAAATAGCTACAGTTATGATGTTGGAGCTAAAATATAATGCTACGAATCAACTAACAACAGCAATGAATTTCTCTTATAGTAAACTAGAATGTAGCTATAAAACCACGCTACTATAAAGGTGTCAATAACACATAAATAATGCTACAACATTTAATAATACAGCGTCTAATTTGTGCTACCGTATCATTTATAATAACTCATAAAAATGCTATTATATATATGCATATAATAACACTTTCCATAAACGCTATATTAAGGGGTGTACTCTATTATAGCTCCGGCAGATACAGCGTTTATGAAAACGCTATGAAAGTACTTTCATAGCGTTATTCGTATGCTACGAATGTACATATTTCTTGTAGTGATATACAGTTGTTGAAACTACATACAGGTCCACAAAGTATAAAACACATCCAACCTTAGCTCAGTTGGTAGAGTGGAGGACTGTAGTTGAAGCAGAATATCCTTAGGTCACTGGTTCGAATCCGGTAAGTCAGAATTTTCTCTCTCAAAAGATTTTTATGTCGGGTTAACACTCGAAGTCGAAAAACATGTCTCTGACTGCTACATTCAAAAGAGATAACATTAAACTTACAAGAAACTAATTTTTCCCTGATTAATTTGGATTTTGGATGTCTTCATCTTTAACTGTAACCGGTATAAGAAACGTTCAAATTAATTTATAAAGATACTAGAGTTAAGCTATTGATGAAAACAGAAAACGAAAGTCTACTAACGGATCAGTACCATGTAAATATCATATTAATTAGAACCCTGCTAATATCATATTATTTAAAAGATAGTTGCATGTGCCTATAAGTTGTCAAGTTCTCGAATGGTAATGAAAGCCTTTTGCCATATTCTTGCATGAATTTTATGTCTATTGTTTTAAATAATTGAAACAATCATTGCCCCACACTCCTTATTACTATTACTATTCCTATGTTTGTGTCAAATATAAAAGTGGGTTTTAACATGTTACCCAATGGGATAAAACTCGTTAGAAAAAAGAATCATTTGGAAATTTATTGATTGGGAATTTTGACATTTTCTAATGGTTTTCGAAGATAGATTTTAGTTTCTTTTCTTCTTCTTTTAGTTGTTGAATTGTATAAAGCTTTCTTAGAAACTTCTACTTATCCTTCAACAAGCTAGCACAATATGGCTGGACAATAGAATATAATACCTTGATAAATAACCGAATCATGTTCCAGTAAAGGAAAAGTGGACATGCCGGAGTGGTTATCGGGCATGACTAGAAATCATGTGGGCTTTGCCCGCGCAGGTTCGAATCCTGCCGTTCACGTTTTTCTAAAGTGTTTTGGGAAAGATCTTTTGAAAATAATACCTATTAGAAAGTACTTTCATGGAAGTTGTAATAAAATGTAGTATTTTAAATCAAACAGCCACAAAACCGAATAGCATAGGAGTGCTTAGCTAACCTTTTGTATGGTACTCTTTGTATACATAAGTTAAGATTGTAGAATTTTAGTGATATACATGCATAGAGTGTTATATTACAATGCCAACCTTAGCTCAGTTGGTAGAGCGGAGGACTGTAGTTGAAGCAGAGAATCCTTAGGTCACTGGTTCGAATCCGGTAAGTCGGAATTTTCTCTCTGAAAAGATTTTTATGTCGGGTTAACTCTCCAAGTCGAAAAACATGTCTAGGACTGCTACATTCAAAAGAGATACCATTAAACTTACAAGAAACTAATTTTTCCCTGATTAATTTGGATTTTGGATGTTTTCATCTTTAACTGTAACCGTTATTAGAAACGTTCAAATTAATTTATAAAGATCTTAGAGTTAAGCTATTGAACAGAAAACGAAAGTCCATTAACGGATCAGTACCATGTAAATATCATATAATTTAGAACCATGTTAATTAGAAGATAGTTGCATGTGCCTATAAGTTGTCAAGTTCTCGAATGGTAATTTAGAACCATGTTAATTATGTCTCTTGTTTTAAATAATTGAAACAATCATTTCCCCACACTCCTTATTACTATTACTATTCCTATGTTTGTGTCAAATATAAAAGTGGGTTTTAACCTGTTACCCAGTGGGATAAAAATCGTTAGAAAAAAAGAATCCTTCGGAAATTTCTTGATTGGGAATTTTGACATTCTCTAATGGTTTTCGAAGATTAGATTTTTGTTGGGGTCGGTTTCACCCCAAATGGATAAAACCGTCTTCATAACGGCTAAGTTTTCAGGAAGGCCGAGCCATAATAGAGGAATATGAAAGTGGGCCAGATCCATAGAAGAAAGGAGAATATAGGCCGAGCCACCTCGTGCGATGTTTAGGCCGAGCCATGAGTGAAAATGCAAGGGGGCCGAGCTGTGGGACAGAATAAGCGGCCGAGCTGCGTTCCTTCGTGTTGGGACGAGCCGGTTAATTTTTTCTGGGCCGAATCAAGGCCAAGGAGGATGAAGCCCACGAAAAACCCTAGGCGAAATACAAAGGTTGTGGCCACACAAAGCGATAAGGAAATATTCCGAAAATCTCTCCCGAGATTCTCGGCTAGGCGGTTTAGAAGGTTAGTATAAATAGGTAATTTACACGATTCATTATGTAACTTTTACCCACTCGATAGCAATAAGACTTAAACACTTTTCCAGCAAAAATCTTTTTTTGATCTTACTGTTCTTGCGATAAACCCTAGAAATATCGGATCCCTTAAGTTTTCCTTAACAAATTTGTGGTTGTGCGAGTTTTGGCTCACACAATTTGGCGCCGTCCGTGGGGAATCAAAATTTTTTTACTCTAAATTGACAACACTTTAAGATCTGAAGAACATGGCGAGCAACACCCCTGACGATAACAACAACAACAACAACAACAACGATAACGGGGCGGAGAAGGACGCTCCACCATCGGGCACAACAACGGCGACAACCGAAACCCAAGAGGAGATGTGAAACATGATGGCTACGTTGATGAAGAAAATCGACGAGCAGGACAAAAGGAAAGAGGCGATTACGGAAAGGCTCGACGCGATGACGGCTGAGAGACGACACCCGAGTTGGAGAGCCGGAATCTCCGATCCGTCAGATGGAGTCCGGACACGTTTTGATTTCTTAACACCTGCAGGAGACTCGGTAGCGGCACAAGAAACCCCATGGCTCCACCAATGTTTTGTCCCCTCGGCGAACAAACTCCCGCAGCAACCCGAATTAACATGACCGA